GTATCTATATGTATGTATATATGTACGCTATTTTCGTTTATGATTATATTAACAACAATTGGAAATACTTTATATTTATGTATACATATGTATATGTATATATATATAAGGTTTTTCTTTCGTTTATTTTCACATATGCATGTATATACATATCTACTAATTTCTTTACGATATATACTATATAAATGTATTGTATATATGTATTGTATGCATGTATATAGCATATTTCAGTTTAGTTTAATTATGTGTAAATATTTATTTAAGGCGACCAACGGCTTAGTCTGCTTGTTCTTGAAATATTCAATTGTTTAATTTATTTTTCAATAATAGTTTGTTTGCATTAGCAATAATTTTTACTTATATTTTCTTACTTTTACAAAAGCAATAAGGTTTTTATCATTTTGATTTTCTTATTTCATTAATGTGCTATTTTGGACAATTTTAGTTTTTTTTTTTTGTGGGCGGATGATGGAACACATATGAATGCTTTGCTTTATACATATATATTATTTATGAAAAAAATTATAATAATTTAATAAAATTCGTTGTTGTAATGTGAATAGTTGTTAGCTTTTAATAATAAAAAAAGCATTTAGTCTTTACAAGTAAATAAATAAGAGTTAATTTAGTATATGGGCGTGATGTATGTGCTGCGATGTGACTTGAAGTAGCGCAAAAGGTTTGCAGTTAATGCACCTAACAAAAAAAAAACTAAAAAAAGAAATGCTTAATTAAATACGATTTACACATAAATGTTTACTTTTTCTGTAACTATGTACTTTTTAAATTTAAGCTAAACTTAAAGCTAAGCAAAAAAATATATATAAATATGTTTATAAACACACATTTGTATACCATATTATAAATATCTATAATAATGTGTTTAGGAAAACATTGAACTAAAGCATTTTTAAGGGCACTAAGAAAGAAAATGTATCATATTTATACTTTTAAAAAAGTTTTTTTTAGTAATTGAGAAAAAAAAAATATTTGAAAAAAAATTTGAAAAAAAAAGTATTTGAAAAAAAAAAATATTTGAAAAAAAAATATTTGAAAAAAAAAATATTTAATTGGCTTTTATTTATTAACAAAGAAAATGACACTTATTTTTGCTTGCTTTGCACGCGCAATGAAAAAAAATGCAAAAAATAACTTGAATTATAATGCAATTTAATTTCAAAAAAAAATTATTTTATTTTAATTTTTAGCCGCAGCCTGATTAAAAAAATGTAATTTTATTTAATTTTTATTCATTTTCGAATCTAAAATTTATGACACGACTATAAATTTTTATTTATAAATATTAACTCGAAGCGATAATTATAAACGAACTTTGAAATTAAGATTTTTAGAATCTGAACATGATAATGAAATGTAACACCTTTCAAAAAAAAAAATAATAATATTAAAAAATAATACATTCGAAAGTCTAATGCGTTTTTTTGCATATTCACTTTTTTAATTTCATTTCAGCGCAAAGCAAGCAAAATAGTTCGAGGCCTTTGCGTGTTAGAAAAAAAAGGCAAAAAAAACTAAATTTATTATTAGGCTTCAAAAAAAAAACTGCTGCAAATGTGATTGATGAAAACAAATAAATAGTATTAAACAAAGGATATTAAGAAAACAGTTGGCTTATAAATATTAAATAATTACAATAAATGGTTATATTGGAAAAAAAGATTCTGAAACTTTTTTAATTTATGGAAAAATCGTTTAACTGCCACTTCGTTGTATTTGTTTTTTTTTTTCTTCGGCATTATTTAATTAATTATTTTTAACACATTTAACATTCTTTTCTGCATATGCTCTACACATGCGGGCTACTCATATAGCTTTGCTAAATATATAAAAAGTGTGTTAGCAAGTGTGTGTCTATATTTTAATATATAATAATAATTAGCATTAATACAATTTCTTTGTTATGTTCTTAACAAAATTTTACTTTTTTATATTTTATTTAATTATTTATATTTTTTTACTTTTGTATATTTTTTTTTTGTTTTTTATTTTGAAATTTTTTTATTTCTTTACATTTTTAATTTTTTTATTTCTATTTTATTTCTTTACATTTTTAGTTTTTTATTTATTTCTATTTTATTTTTTTACATTATTTTATATTTTTTTTTATATCTTTTATTTTTTTATATTTTTTATATTTTAATTTTTTTATATTTTAATTTTTTTATATTTTTTTATTTTTTTTTATTTTTTTATTTTTTTAATTTTTTTATTTTTTTTAAATCTTTTTTTCTTTTATTTTTTTAAACCTTTTTTTCTTTTATTTTTTTAAATCTTTTTTCTTTTGTTTTTTTTTAAATCTTTTTTTCTGTTTTTTTTTTAAAACTTTTCTTCTTTTATTTTTTAAATCTTTTCTTCTTTTATTTTTTATATTTTATTTTTTTAAATATTTTATATTTTTTAAATTTTTTAATTTTTTTATTTTAACATTTTGTATTTTTTTAAGTTTTTTATATTTGTTTATATTTTTTTATTTTTTATATATTTAATGTATTTATATTTTTTGTTTTATTATTTTTATTTTTTCTTTACTTTTTTAAATTATTTACATTTTTATATTTAACTATATTTTTTATATTTTATTTCTTTTTTCTTTTATTTTTAAATTATTATTATTTTTACTTTTACTTTTTACTTTTATTTCACCTGTATTTCACTTTATATATTTTATATTCTCAGTTTTAATTAATTAATAATTTTATATTTGTTTTTTTTTTTTTGTATTTAAATGAGATACTGATAATGGTAATGTTGAAATGTTAAATGTCAATTTATTTAATAATTTAATGTCGATGATAAACTACAACTAATATACAGCGTGGTATTTAATAAATAAATACTATTTAGCGTACGGCTGGCTGAACGTAGTAGCAGCACAAATTCAAACACATAGTAAATGAAACAAAAAAAAAAAAGTGTACGAAGAAATATACAAAAAAAAGAAAAAGAAATTAACAAAAATTATTATATTTTAGTATTACATTAATTTTATTAAATGGTAGCTTAGTTTATATTAAAACTAATTTTTATTGTAGCATATATGTATGTTCAATTAAATTTAAATACAATATAAATAACGAGTTGCATGAGTTTTTGTGAGGCCTTTACGATTCTTTTCCATTAAAATATATTTTTATTTTAATATAAATTACTGTATTTTTTTGTAGTTTAGTTTGATTTTTGGTTTTTCATAAGTATCTATATTTTTTGTGGTGTGTAGTAGGGCGACGAGGAGCTAGGCATTTTTTGGCAATATTTTTTTTTAATTTTATTGCTGAAGTGTAGCTTTCAAGACGGCTGTAAGTATTTTAAATTTTTTTGTGTTTGGTTTTTTTTTTTTTTTGATTTTTAAGCTCGCATATAGTTTTTTTTTTTTTTTTGGAATTTACTAAGTTTGAAAACCGAACGGTATACAATTTTTTTTTAAATAAATATGTATATTAATTTTTTAATTTTATTTTAATGCTTTTTTATTTTTAACACAAGGGTTTAGTCATAGAAAAAGTATTTTTTTTTATAGTTTTTTATAAATAAATTAATAAATACAAATAATATGAAATACAATTTAATGCAAAATAACATAACAAAAACTATGCAAATTCTCAGAAAACATGCATGTACAATTTAAGATTTATTTCTTTATTTATACTGACTTTTGGCAAAAACAAAAAAAAATTTATTTAACTGATTAACGAAATTTGGAAGAAAAAAATTAAACATAAATTAAAATAAAAATTTAGAATCTGTTTAACTATTTCAAATACCTTTCACATTGACTAATAGCCTTCAACTTAAACAAAAAATACATTAAGGAGAATTCTGTGAAAAAAAAGACGGTACGAAATATTTCGGGGTCATAATTTTATTGTTAATTAATGGAAGCAAGCAAATATAAAAATTAAAGGATATCTACTTTTTCTATAAACTTTTAAGAAAATTATTCATTATATTTTAATACTGTTGCTGTTGCTGCTGCCATAACTTCTTTCGCGTATTAAGTAAGTGATATAGAATTTTAACTAGATTTAGTTGCCATAGTGCAGGGTACTCAATATATTTTTTGCTCAAAACTTTACATTATGTCTTACGCCTTTATTTAATATACTTAAAAAAAAATCATTTAAAGTTAGTTTTTGTTGGCCTTTCTGTTTAGTTCAGCGCAAAGGCAACGTTATCTATTAAGCTGCCAATTATTTATATCCCTCAAATGCTGCCCGGGTACTTTAAACGTTGTGTAATGCTGTGAGCTTTCGGCTGTTTTAAAATGATATTATGAGAAATATATAATTTTCGGCAAGAAACTAAGTAAGAACGAATGAACAAAATAATTACAAAAGAAACTACTGTTTGAAATGAAGTATGCACAAAAAAAAAAAACTTTGCTCTCTTTAACACTCGAAACAGTCTAAGCACAATTGCATTTCGTTTGTGTATGCTATATGCATATGTTATATGTGTTTTTTGTAAACAATAATTTCATAAAGTAAATTAAACAGTCAGTTATTTAATTATGTGTGTGTGGCAATATTTATATAAATCATTTTTTATGCATATATTAATATTTCAGTTATAGTATATTACTTGTTAGCACTACATTTAATCTTCTTTCTTATACATTTTCTATAATCAAATATCTAACTCTTTTACATTTTTTTCGGGCTTTCGTTACACATTTCTTCATTTTTAGCTCGTTTAGGCAATAATTTAAATTTCAATAAAGCATTTCTTTTATTTAAAGTAATTATACATATATATATTTGTAGATATAATTAAAACTAAAGTGTGCAAAAGAAACTAGGTTTTCAGTATAATAAATATAAATTATATTTAAGTTATTTTTTTTATACAACAGCGACAATTTTAATCATTATCAATCTTATTTTTTTTTTTTTTGCTATCAATCCTTGATATTTCGTTTTGTTTTTGCATTTACAAATCTAATTTATTTTGTAACTTATCAACTAGACATTTGTATTAAAAAAAGAAATAATAGTATTTTATGATTTGCAAAAAAAAATATGTTTATAATTTTGATGATTTTTTTGAACCGAAACAGTAATGAAAATCTGTTTGTAAGAAAGAGTACACCAATAAAAAAAAAACTGAGACTAAATCGTGCACAAGATATATATATAAATTTTGAAAATGCGCTTGTAGTTATAAATACCGAAAAAGTTCGTGTTTTTTTTTAATTAATCGCAACGTTGGAGGAAAGTTTGTGAATATACACGTTAACATCTCGTACGCGCATGCGCGCTGTTAAGATTTAATACAATTTCCCGGTTTATGTTATAGGTGCTTTTTATTCCGTCCTCAACTAATTTCAGTGCTCTGCAAATTTTATGTGTGCCTTACTTTTGTTTTCCTCATACTACTTCTCTTACATTACGTTACAATACATACCCAATGCTCTAACAACTTTTCCTTACGCACACGCTTCGCTTTAGCTTTGCTTTATGTATGCCCTTTCTAATCAAAATTTCACACTTGCAGGTCTTTTTGCTGCTTAATTGTTGTTCTATTTTTACTTTTATAAATTTTAGCAGCAAAATTTGCACTAACTTCTTTATTTTTAATTGTATATTTTTATAAACTAAACAATTATAGCTTATTTTATTTTAGCAATAGCAGTGGCGGCAAAATTTTTCCATTTTTCTTGACGGCGTAAGTTCCCAATTTCCTTGGTTCATTCATTCACAGCACCATCTTCAATGAAATTTACCTTGTGGTTTGTTGTTGTTATTTTTGTTTTAGCAACAAATTAAGGCGTTTTGAGTAATAGTATATCTTTTTTTCGTGTTCGACTAATCGTTTTACTTCGTTGATAGAAATAGTTGCGACCGAAGGTCTTTTGTAATTTATACGATTTACCCGCTAGGAACTTGGTTAGCTCTTGTACGTAGCCTCGTGCGATGTCATCTGTTAGGTGTATGGATATCACCTCGATTTGTACCCGATCGAAGGGTAGCGTTTGTAGGATCTACGGGATTTAAGATGACACATATGAGAATGAAGTATTAATAAATGAAAAAACAGTAGATAAAAAAATAATTAAAAAATTTAATAAAGTAAAATCAAATAAAATTAAATCAAATATAAATTATGAATAAAGAATATAATAAACTAAAAAAAAATAAGTTAGCAAAAAATAAAAATATATTAAATTATATAAAGTAAAATTTAGTAAAAAAGCAAACAAGAAAAAAAATTAAAAAAGCAAAAAGAATAAAATAAAATATAATATACTATATTATAACAAGATAATATAATAAACCAAAATAAATTAAAATAAAATCAAATAAAAATCACTTAAAATTTATAGTTTTAAATGAATTATAAATAAATTAGTTAAAAAACTGAAAGAAAATCAAAAAATAATTAAAAATAATTTTAATTGAAAAAAATTAAAATAAAAAAATAATTATATAAAAGGAAAACCAAAAAAAAAAAAAATAAATAAATAAATAATTAAATAAAAATTTAGTAAAAACTAGAATGAAATAAAAATATCATAAACAATTAAAAGAAAATTCAAACAAAATAACATTAAATAAATTATTTAATGAATTCTGTAAAACGAAATAAAATAAAATAAAACAAATTAAGGGACACACCTAGTGTAATGGCCTTTTGGGATTTTTATTAAAAAAAAAATACTTTATCAATTATTTCAAAATTTTAAGAATATATTTTTACATGTTTCAAGTATATACAGTGAAATTTTTGAAGAAAAAAATTAAATATTTTTTCAGTTATAGTCGTTCTTCAACGGCCTTCTCCGTGGATGAAATCTAAAAAAAAAAGTTCTCTACTAGATAATATTTTCTGTACAATGACCTACGATAAAATAAATCTAAAATTGACTATATGGCGGAGTTTTAAAAAAAAAATAGTCGAATTTTAACGAAAATTTTTTGATCATGCTGATCATTTTGAACATATAAAAAAAATACGATAGTGATCGGGTCATTTGTTTTTGAGCAATCACTGCAGCAAATTCGGAAAAAGTTGTTTTGAGAAAAACGCGCTTAAAGATCAAATGATCGTTTTCAATCGTAGCTAATGAGACTCTCTAGCTGCCGAACGGCTGCTCTTTAAATTGCTATAACTCAAAAGCTATTTAAGATATCGATTTGAAAATATGTTATTTTTAAAGGTGGAATCTACCGAGATATGCAAAAAAAAGTTTTTTTTTTAAATTTCACACTAGGTGTGTCCCTTAACTTAAATGAAATAAATAGAAATTTAATTTCGAACAAATAAAACAATTAATTTCTTCACCTTTCCAGCAATACACTCACCTCCAATTCATGCCCATGAACTCCCAAACTAAGTAGATCGTATTCCACACGATTACAGGCTAACATTAGCGAATATAATGGAAAGCATTTGACGCGCGAATTAAACCACGAAGTTTCTTCATCCAACAGACTATTGATGCGCACCTCAGACTCTTCGTTGTGTATCGTAACCTAGAGAAAGACAAAAAAAATAACAATAAAATCAACAAAAATTAGTTTTTGCAATAAATAAAACTGTGCCACAACAACAACACACTCACCTCTTTCGGATACGGATTCGGTGATATACATGCATGCACCACCTGCAGACCCAGCCGTTGCGCATTCTGTTTGCGCAAGGTGAAGAAACGACGCGGTTCCGGTTCCACTACCAAACCTACCCAATTTAATGTAGCCGCTAGCCATGGCGACGTCATTAGATGACCCATTGCACCGGGTAATGATTGTATAAAGGCACCATTCTCTTTACCACCCACTAAATCGGACACATAATGCGCCATTTCGGCGGTCAGACCTTCATAGTGTGTGCTGAAATTGAAATGCGTCGACGTCGCTGTCGCTGTGGTGGAAGAAGCGGAGGAGGATGCTAATGCTGCTGCTGTTGCTGCCGCCGCCGCCGCCGCCGCTGCTGCCGCTGGAGACGTATGCGCTGCTGTTGCCATCGTTGATGTTGCTACATCTATTGGCGCATTCTTCAGGAAGTGCATAGGGTATTTGCGCATATGTATTTCGCGCAGGAATGCTATGAGGGTGGGATCATCTTGTGCTACGCCGAAAAATTCATAATCGCGCGACATATTCAGTCGAAATTGTTTATGACGAATCTCTGCAAATAGACGGATGAATGCATACGAGAGAATTAGTTCGATGTAAACAAGTAAAATTGTAGGTGTAATTTTCATTTATGTAAGAATGCAAACGTAAACAACAAGAGGAAGTTTATACGAGATAATATGCGCAATTATATGGCTTAATGCAAATATAATCGGAGAATGTTTTTATATCTCAAAGTTTATTAACAGTATCGACTAAGTAGTAGCTTGAGTACAGATGGATAACTTTTCTTCATTTACTTTAAATTTATATCTTTTTCCCTATGTTATGTTTTTTTATTATTTTTATTTTCCTTATATTATTTTTCATTTCCATTTTATTTACTTTTTTAATTTTCATTTTATTTTATTTTTTATTTTTATTTAATTAATTTTTATTTCATTTAATTTATTTTATTTTTTTTATTTTATTTTTTTTTATTTTCACTTTATTTAATTTTTATTTTCTTTATTTTGTTTTTTAATTTTTCGTTTTATTTTATTTTTTATTTTTATTTAATTAATTTTTTTTTTTCATTTAATTTAATTCTTATTTTCTTTATTTTAATATTTATTTTCATTTTATTTTATTTTTTATTTTCATTTTATTCGATTTTTTAAATTTCATTTTTTATATTAATTTTATATAATTTATAGTTTCCATTTTATTTATTTTTATTTTTATTTTCATTTAATTTATTTTCCTATTTTCATTTAATTTATTTTCTTATTTTCATTTATTTTTATTTTTATTTAATTTATTTTCTTATTTTATTTTCTTATTTTCATTTTATTTAATTTTTATTTCCATTCCATTAATTTTTTGGTTTCATTTTGTATAATTTACAATTTTCTTTTTATTTACTTTTTATTTTTCTTTCATATGATATATTATTTTTTATTTTCATACAATTTAATTTTCTATTTTCATATAATTTAATTTTTTATTTTCACTTTATTTAATTTTTATTTCCATTAAGTTTATTTTTTGTTTTCTTTTAATTTTTTATTTTACTTTATTTTCTTTAATTTTTTTATTTTTTTTTTTCAACTTATTTTATTTTATTTCATTTATTTTCATTTTATTTTATTTTATTTTATTTTATTTTATTTTATTTTATTTTATTTTATTTTATTTTATTCTAATTTATTTTATTTTATTTTATTTTATTACATTTTATTATATTTTATAATATTCTATTTTACTCTTTTTCCATATTTTTCAGTTTTCTTATTTTTAATTATTATATTTAATCTTAAATTAATTTAATACAATTTTTTCTGATTTGTTTTATGGTTAAAACTTATTTGTATTACTTATTTATTTCTTATTTCGTTTCGATTTATTTATTTGTTTAATTAATTATTTTTAGTAACTTTTACTTTTTTTGTGTTTAATATAATATCCCTCACATTTCATATATTTTGTCGCCTTAAGAAACACATTTCAGCTACTTTGCTGCAAGTCTTAAATATAATCGCTATAAATCGTTATATATCTTAACTTTGAAGTCATTTTACGAAAGTGCTGGCATAAATACATAACAAAAAATGGGCGTATTGTCGAATGAGTAAACACAAACTGAAAATGCAGACTACGGCAAGCAATCGTCAGGTAAATAAAAAATAATAATAACAAAGTATGGTCAAGTTAAAAATGCACGCAAATTTCATAGAAAATTAAAAGCAAACGGTACCTAAAAAAAGAGTTCAACACGAACGAAGCTTGCTACATATTTTTGCTGCCCTCTCCCCATAAAAATGTTATTCTTGACTCTAACACTCACTACAGACTTAGTTGCGCTTCCTGCACTGCCTCCCCGGACAGTGCGACTCGGACGTGTAAATGGGTGTGAAATCTGCTGCGGGCACTTTTTAAATTACCAACAAACGAACGAGCCAACGAACGAATGAGCTAACATCATTCACTAACACCTTTTACTCATTTCCGAACACACTTCCTTTCACCGCGTTCAGTTACACACATGTGCTTTTATATATATATGTATATAATACATATGTGTGTTCAAGTATCTTTTCGCATTTATTATCCTTTCGTTTCGTGTCCTTTTATTACTATACCACCTTGATGCCATCAGCGGGCATTAACGGTACATTTAGTAGGTGGCATAATATATTTCAAATTGGTTGCCAGCAGTGGACGTGCTGCGGGGGCGTGCCGCTTTCACCTTCAACTTTGACAGCTAGTAATTTGTTCAAATGCACTGCGTCAGGCCAGTTCACTCGGGTTATTCATGTACGATATTTCCCCATTTTAACATATTTTTCGCATTTATTTCTCTATTTTTTTTTCTTTGTTTATTTTTATTTTTTTGCACCGGTTTCAGCTGGCCGCGTGTCGGCATTTTGTTGTGCCATTTGGGCATAGCATGTGAAAGTCAAATAAACTACAATATTAGTGGAAAATGTGTATGTAAATTTGCACTAAATATTTTCGCAATTATTATGCTTTGTATTTTTTTCATTTTTCCTTTATTTGTAGTTTTGTCGCTTTATTAGCATTATATAATTTAATGATTTCATATCTTCATGTTGATTAGGTAATTCAATTCTTTTACTTTCTTTTTGCAAGGACACACACGAGTAGCTGTCAGTCGTAATTGCTGGGTAATGAAAATTTTATGATTTAATGGCTCTACTAAAGTGGGCTGAGTTGTTGAAATGGTTTATTGAATATAAATTATTAAATTAAATACTACAATAATAAAAAGTTTTTTTTTCATTTATAATATTCTGCTACTTGTATATTTATAAAATATTTTATATTGGAGAGTTGCGTATACGCCACCGGATAGTAACCGTTCGCTGAGTATTTTATGTATTATGATGTCATATTATTCAAAGACTATTCCATAAGGCAAATAATTTGAATTAAAAGAAAAATTAAATTTGATATCAAATAGAATAAAATTATATGGAAATGAATAAAACAATCATAAAATAAAAAAATTAAAAATTTATATTAAAAATAAAAATTAAAATTAAAATAAAATAAAAAACAGAAAAACGAAATATATAAAACGTATATAAAAAATTAAAATAAAAACCAAAATAAAATAAAACACAAAATAAAGTAATAATTAAATAAAATATGTGAAATTAAAATTAAAATATAAATGAAAAAATAAAATATACTTAAGGTAAATAAAATAAATTAATTAATATAATAATAATCGAAAATTAATAAGTGAAAAATGTAAAAAATTAATTAAACAAATGAAATTAAGATAAAAAACTATAAACACAGTAAATAAAATGATGATTAATTAAATAAATAAAGAAAATAAATAAATAAAAATAAATAAATAAATAAAAATAAATAAGAAATAAAAAATTTAATAAATAAATAAAAAATTAAAAATATAATAAATAAATAAAAAATTAAAAAAAATATAAGAAATAAAAAATTAAAAAAAATATAAGAAATAAAAAACTTAAAAGGAGTTTAAGAATAAAAAAAAAATAATTAAATAAAGAATGATAAAAAATATGTAACTTATCACTTGGTAATGAAGTATGGAAAACTAAAAATAATCATAAAAATAATTCAACCGCAAAAAATCATTACACCTTTTCGCTTTCCGGTAGTAAAATTGTAGCTCTTAAACGTCTAAGCTAAGTTTTGTGGCGTAAAATCGTTGGAAGGCTGTAAAAGCGCATTAAAAAATTTGAAATTGCCTAATGCTGTATTTCTTTTGGTGAAATTTGTTATGGCGTTGGATTAGTAACTAATTTTAACTCACTATTTTATTACAGCGCAAGTAAAAATTGTGGCAGTCAAATTTAATTGTTTTTTATTAACCCATGTATATTTATGTAATTAACACATTCTTTTAATTTCTCTTTTATTTTATAGAATATATATTATATATACTACTACTTTGTTTTTTTCTTATTTATTATCATTATTTATATTTATTTTTATATTCTATATTTGTTTTGTTTTCATTATTTTTATTTATTTTTACATTTTTTATTTATTATTATTATTTTTATACATTTTACTTAATTTTATTTATTATTATTTTATTTTTCAAGTGATATGCGCTTCATAAAACAAAAAACAAGAAATGCATTTGATAGTAAGGTTCCTTACCTATTTACATACATATATATATTTTCAAAATCACCCAAAGCGAAAAATTCGTTAGAAAGTTCGTTGTTTTCGGTTTTCAAATTTAAAAAATAAATTTGCTTTTTTTATCTTAGCAGGTAGAACTGAACAAATTAATTTCTTTTTTTTTACTGTACTCTTAAATCAGAACATTAGTATGATAAAAAATATTTACAAATGAACATTTCCAAAAATATCATCTTTCGCTAATAAACTTTATACAAGTTTATCGTACAAAGCAGTGTAGATATTATATAAAAAAAATCGTAGTATTATTAAAGGTGATTTTGTAAATCATATTCAAAAAAACAAAGAAAAACATCTCAAATTACATAAAAAAATCTCTGTTCGCTTTTCATTTTTGTTTTCCATAGTCAGGTGTCGTTTAGCATACCAAATTCACCAAATTTAAACATTTCTTCAATGGTCATTAGAAACCCACAAACAATTCGTGAGCTTTTGAGTGACATCCAACGCATTATAAATTTCAAAATCGGACGCAGATCGATTTACCTGCCTTAATGTTTGTCTAAGTATAGCTAATGGTTTATTAGACTTTATGACACTGTAATATGATTATTCACAGTGGTGTGATATTTTAGGTATGGTCATTTGGATACATAAAAAAATATATTTTTTTGGCGGCAACATCAATATGAGCAGAAAGAAAGAGTTAAGTAGAAAGTGTACCGAGGCGAAGGCGGGAATGAGTAGTAAATGTAAGAATAATAGTGGGTGTGTTGCGACGTACATGCATACTCGTTCATTTGTATGTGTAAGTTATGGCGCGTGTAATGAATTTAAAGTAGCAAAATTTATGACTTAGTAACTATACGTATGCACCCTCATGTACATACCTACGTACATATTTATTGCTGC